TTGCCATCCTTCTCAATTTTCAGGGTACCAGGACATTTTGTGGAGCGACGAGTATTACATCTTAAAATATTTGAATTACGAGAATCCTTGTTGTAAGTATAATCATCATAAACATAAAGTATGGTACCAGGTTTTTTCCCATATATTTCCTCCATCTAAAAAATAAAAAAAAACTTTAGTATAAATATAATTTTAAAGTTATTACAAATATAATTTTAAAAAATAATAAATTTCTGAATAATAATGTTACAATGAAATTATTAACAGTTTTTTAATATTAATACATAAATATTTCTCATAAATTAATAACGTGTCACAGAATTCAGTTATGCATAAATATCTCTACTATTATCGAGGAAACATGATTCTGTTACGTACAGAATTCATTACGCTTTGTATATTACATGTATCATAAGATACGTTTCAGAAGCATGTTTTTAATATTTTTAGTAACCATCTCCTCGAATACATCCACAGATGTAAATGACACTTTATTCAAATACAAAATGCAACACAGTCCTCAATTAATATGTATTTTATAAATGCAACTATTAAGTATCATTATCTAATTTAAAAATTAAAACGTAGTTTTTTACATGAAAATTACAAATGAGCAACTCTTTTTTTAAATTAGTGTGTTACATAATAAAATATAATAAAATTTGGATAATAATATTCTCTATTGCAGATAAGCAGAATTTTTATTATTGCATATAAGAGAATAATTACAGTCATACATTTTACATTTTGCAATTTATTCTGAATCTGTTTCATATTAGTAACTTATGTTAACTGAAATGTTAGCCACATGCTGATTCAATATTTCATATAAATAAATATAACGATCGAATTAATTCCCTGAGAAAAAATTTTATGTTATGTACATATTATGATATCCATAACTCAAATTGAACATATTAACATGAGTAAAAAATTTCTCTTTGAAAGTACTATATTACTTACGTTAGTAACGAAACGTAGACAACAGGCAAAAATATATTTGGATAAGAACAATCGCCACTCCTCGCACAAAATATTTTGATGTATTTGATATTCTTCTGATTGTTACTTAGAAATACAACACGAGCACGATAGTTACAACAGAAGCAGTATTACGACAAAAACATAAAATGCATTAAAAGTTATGTAAAAACCGTGGAAAAACAACGAGAAACACTGCACTTATCGGATACCACAGGAGCATGTTACAACAAGAGTGATACGACAAAAGCACATCAGACACGTAACGACACGAGCATAGAAGAACTAAACATGGCGGAAAAAAGTGCGAAAAGAAGGGCGGGAAGAAGCGCAATGCGTATGAATGCATTTATCACGTGCTGGGCTCTCGCACAACAATTCCGTAGCCATTAACATAGTCGTAACCGCGAAAATCAAACAATAACAAACGTCTATTGAATCCGTAGAATTTAAACACATTTGTTATTGATTGATTTCCACGGTTATATTTAGTTACAGAATTTATATGCGAGAAACCTTAGGCCGATATGTACCTTTTAATATTAAAAACGTTAATATGAAAAATATAATTTTGAGAAATGAAATAGAAATTACTAGCACTTTTGCAATATATAAACATTTCTTATAAATTCTTAGAAAGTCACAGAATTCATGTAGGCATAAATGTCTCTATTTTTAACGAAGCATAATGATTCTGTTGCGAATTTATTTTTTTGTTTAGAATTCAATACTCTTTGCATACAAAATGTAACATAAAATACATTTCCAAAACATTCTTTAGCGCTATAAATATCCGTAGATGTTTTCGTTAAAATTACAAATAAGCAATTCTTTTTTAAAAGTAGTGTTTTACATAAAATAGAATAAAATTTGGAATAATATTCTTCATTGCACATAAGCAGAATTGATATTATTGCATATAACAGAATAATTACAGTCACTTTTAATATTTTGCAATTTATTCTGAATCTGTTTCATGCCCTAAGGGCCTATCCAGACAAACTTGCATAGGTGCATATGCATAACATAAGACCATATGGACCAATGAGCATCGAGTATTATGTTATATAAGTCAATATGGCGACTTAATACTCGATACTCATTGGTCCATATGATCTTATGTTATGCATATGCACCTATGCAAGTTTGTCTGGATAGGCCCTTAAGGTTAAAGCACATAAAATTGCATAGGCGCATAACCATAAGCATAAGGAATTTGATTGGTCCACAAATATATGCATAAAAAAATAAACCAATCAATTTTCTTATGCTTATGGTAATGTGCTCCTGCAATTTTATGTGCTTCCACCTTTAAAGCCCTCACACATGAATAGCTGCATTATGCATAATATAAGAGCATCGAGTATTAAGTCGTTATATTGACTTACATAACATAATACTCTAGCTAGGATTCCTAAAAAAAACAAGCTCTATCATTGGATATCGGACGTCGTAATCGGATATCAGACACAGTGTGAGTCCAGCATAAAATTTTAGCAGAAGCAATTCGACCAATCACGGTTGAGATCTTAAGCTGTCGTTTTGAAACGTAAGCAGCACTAACGATTCCCTATGGTTGAAATTGTTACATCTTAAGTTTTACGGCTTAAATTTTTTTATGTGCCCGGGCCTTAATGGCTTCTGCAGACAGGACGCGGTAACGCTTCCTGTGCGGCAAATCGTGACGCGATAGCCTGATTGGCTATCATCTTTCGCTCTTATGGAAACGTTGTAAATTGATTGGTTGTCGTCTTTTGCCGCGTGGCAAACGTTACCGTGTCCTATCTGCAGGAGCCATAAGGCCGGTATTCATAATCCGATCTTATATTTAAGATGGTCTTAAGTCTTGTCCGAGATTGACTTAAGACCTCATTCAACCAATCAAATAGCTGCGTAGCATTTCAAACTCGAACTTAAGACGATCTCAAATATAAGATCGGACTATGAATACCAGTCTAAAGCTGACATTACATATTTTTGTTTTGTGCCCAATAATATTTCAATCTTAAAAAAAATATTTATTTTTAACATTTTTTAAAAACGGATAATATTAAAAGTAACACATTTATTTTTTAAATAATGTAAAAAAGAATGAATTTATATATTTTAATGAAGACAAAAGATGTTTACAGACGGAGCAAATAGGTGAAAACAAATAAAGGTGCAATCAACGCGCTCGAAAAAATTTTTCGTTTGACATATGTAATATCGGCCTTAGACAAAAGCCTTCCCTGAAATATTCGAAAGAATGTGAAAATACTAATATACGCCACATACCAAATCCAAACTAATTTGAAATACAAAAGAAATAACTTTATTGTTGTGAATCTGACAAAGAAATACAAAATTAGAAAACAATTAATAAAGTAATCTTTAATGTTTAATAAATGCGTAACATTGCTTTTTTTCGTATTTCAAATATTTTGTGTTTTAAGTATTAGTTTTGGATACAAAGATTTCGATTAAAGTTTTAACAAGATTGTGCAGTAAAAATCTTATGTTTTGAATAGATACATAATTATACATATATGGTATAATTGCATAATGTATTGCATATTTATAAATTAATAATTAATAAGAAAATAATGAGATATATGATGTATAAAAATAGTTATTTGGATTTGGTATGTGGAGTAAATATAGTATTCTTAATGTTATATATTCCTTTTGAATATTTTATTTGTGCAAATGACAATTTCGTAAACAGTAGAAATAAAAGATTGTAGATGAAGTTTATATAAATTTTTTTTTCGGCGATTACAATTTGTTCGTTCACACGTATTTTTTTTAAAATCGCCGCATATGTCGACGCTTTGTAATGTTCGGCCAACTTCTCTTTTCAGATTATCCGTTGATTTTCCCGTAATCATATATCGATACTGCTCGACACTGGTGCAATGTAGATATGGGCAATTCTTTTTCGTACACTTGGTATTTTGGTATTGATAACAATATTTATATGAATGGACAAAATCACAATCTAAATTTGCGCAATCAGTTTTTTGGCAAGTATTTTGCAACATATTTCCTGAAACATTTTTTAATATATTATTTTATAAAATTACATAAACTGCAATACCTTATAATGTGTTATAAAATATAAAGATTTATGAATAACACTAAAGTTATAACTACCTTGTTCTAAGCCATAAAATGACATATTTAATGACATATATAAAACGACAGAATGAAAATAAAAATGTCCGGATATGAAATAATCAATTCATATTTTTTTCACAATAACATTTGCAGAAGAACAAGAACGATAACAGTAAGCATGGCGAAAACGACATGAGCAAAAATAACACATAAGCCTATGTAATATAACCTATACGAAATTACATGCCGGTAATATACATAGACGTAACATATATATAGACTGTGCGTTGTATGGCCGATTTCATAATGTCTGTTCTTTTTGGCAGAATTAGCTGCATTAGTACAAAGTTTATACTTTTTGCCTCTCTTGGTAAGAAATCATTACTTTTACGTTATGTTACTGTAGCAAAGTCATCTTTTAAGTTTGTTTTCGTCATAATGCTTTTATAGGGGATTGTCCGATTAGACATAGTACGATTAGACACAGCCAATTATATCGACCGATGCCTAGGGTAACTAGCACGATCAAGCACGATTAGCCAATCAAAGCCAGTTGTGTCCAATTGTACTGTGTCTAATTGTAGGTGTCTCAATGCAGCCAATTTTATCAAAAAAGAACAGGCCTCATGAAATCAGGTCATGCAACGCGCGGTCCATAAATAACGTTTATGATATAATCAGTATATGATTTCGTTTAGCTTGTTATATTGGCTTATGTAGTATTTTATATTATGTGATAATCTTGAATTTTTTGTATTCAAACTTATTATCTATAAACAAAATATTTGAAGCATAAAAAGGGAAAAGAGGTTATTGTTGTGATACTAAAATAATTGCAAAGTTGGGAAACAATTAATAAGGAATAATCTTTAATATTCAATTAAATGCGTTTCATAAAAAAATTAAAAAATATTAATATTCGCATCTCTTTTATTAACCTTGCACCTTTATTTGTTTTTGTCTATTTGTTTTCATCTATTTGCTCCATCTGTAAACATATTTTGTCTTCATTAAAATATATAAATTCATTCTTTTGTACATTATTTAAAAAATAAATGTGTTACTTTTAACATTATCTGTTTTTAAAAAATGTTAAAAATAAATATTTTTTTTAAGATTGAAATATTCTTGGGCATAGAACAAAAGTACAAGTTTAGAATTTTTTTAACATATGGTGTGCAAATACTGCAAAATTTTTTCCAGATATTTTGGAAATAAAGCGTAATCTTCCAATTCCAGTATTCATATATCGCTCATTTGCTGCAACGGTAACAATTCAAAATTTGCTTTAAGTCATTGCAAAAAAGTTTTTATTTGTACTTTTTATTAGTAGAATAAGAAAAAGCTTTATTGTTGAAAGAGTTGTTCATTTTAGTATTAAAATTATAATAAATCATAACGTTCAAAGTCATTTTCTGGAAAATCGTTACTTTTTAATATCATTTTGAGTTATAATGATATTAAACTGTTGTAATAGATTAAGTCATTGGTATAGCAAATTAGCCATATATTGTTAAAAGTAGAGATGAAGAGAATTTATTATCTTTATACTTACATAAAATAACAAACTTTTCCCATGTATTACATTTTACGCAGTGATATACTGGCAAGGCACCATCTACGCGAATTTGCAGTCGATTCGTACAATATTTGCAATAGACGTGGCCACAAATCAATGCCTCCATGTCTTCATTTAATATTATGTAACATTTGTTGCATACTGGAGGAGTATTATTTACTGAAAGTATAGTAAATATATTTGTTAATTTATCATAGCAATTTAAGTTACTAACTAAAATGTTTAAATAGTTAAAGAAGCTTACTATTGTTATTATTGTTGGAAGCTGTTCCACATGATAAACATGGCCATACACACTCTCCCAGCAGATATAATGAACATGTATGTGCTCTTAATTCCGTTGAATAGGATTCTCGTAAAATGAAAGCTAAACGCTTCATCTCATTATATACCGTTTCACGAAACGGTCGTACATTTTTATTAAGCTCAACAATTTCATCCTTCGTTAGATGTACAAATTTGCACAATCTATTCCCGTTACAAGATTCATTACTGCAGGCAATAATTTTATGCTGCATTTTGCAAGGATTTCTGAAGCACACTCGTATCATATAGTCACGACAAATCATTTTGCAGTACTAGAACTTTTTTTTAAATAAAAGACAATGACATATTTAACAACATATATAAAATAACAGAATGAAAATAATGTATATTTCGGATATGATTTAATATTGTTCTCACAATAATGTTTGCGAAAAAGAAACGACAACAGTAAGTAACACAGAAGCGAAAACGACATGAGCGAAAATACTATCTATATCATAGACGTAACAATATATAGACCGCGTGTTTTATGGCCGATTTCATAAGGCTTATTCTTAGAAGTGGCTGCACTAAGTCCGTATCAGATTACACATTGAAAATTGAAGATTCAAGATTAAAAATTAAAATTTTATCAATCAGTACTTGCTCTGCGCACAATAGGAAAAATATTAAATATTAAATATTAAATATTAATTATTAAATATTATATATTATTTTTTATATATTATATATTATTTTAAATATATATATTATATTATTTTAAAACAAGGAAATGAAATGGACTAACGCACATGCATTGAAAATTAGGAATAAAGAATCAAAATGACAGAATATAAATATTGAATATTAAACTCGTTTAATATTTCGTTGAGTTAATATTAATGGGGATTGCCCGATTAGACACGCTAGTAATTTCTATTTCAGTTTTCAAAATTATACTTTTTATATTAACTTTTTTAACATTAAAAGATACATATCGGGTTAAGGTTTCTCGCATATAAATTCCGTAACTGTCAATATAATCGTGGAAATCAATCAATAACAAATTTAAATTATACGGATTCAATATACGTTTGTTATTGTTTGATTTTCGCGGTTATGACTATGTTAATGGCTACGGAATTCGTGTGCGAGAGCCCAGCACGTGATAAATTCTTTCTTTCTTTCTTTGAATTTTAATGGCCACCTCTGATCTAAGAGCGATCAGTATATTCAGGCCAACAACTGGTTAACGGTGCCACTGTCGAACGGTGCTACTGTCGAAGCCCTCGAGGGAGGGATGAGAAACTCAAAAATTTTATTAAAACAAAAATCACGCGAAGAATGTGCAGGAACACGTCTGCTCCCGTCCAAAGGCGGTAACGGACCGTGCACGTGATAAATGCGTGCATACGCTTGCGCTTCTTCCCGCCCTTCTTTTCATGCTTTTTTCCGCCATGTTTAGTCTTCTACCTATGCTCGTGTCGTTACGTGTCTGATGTGCTTTTGTCGTATCACTCTTGTTGTAACATGCTCCTGTGGTATCCGATAAGTGTAGCGTTTCTCGTTGTTTTTCCACGGTTTTTACATAACTTTTAATGCATTTTATGCTTTTCTCGTAATACCGCTTTTGTTGTAACTATCGTGCTCGTGTGGTATTTTTAAGTAACAATCAGAAGAATATCAAATACATCAAAATATTTTGTGCGAGGAGTGGCGATTGTTCTTCTCCAAACATATTTTTGCCTGTTGTCTACGTTTCGTTACTAACGTAAGTAATATAGTACTTTCAAAAGAAATTTTTTACGTATATTAATATGTTCAATTTGAGTTATGAATATCATGTACATAACACAAAATTTTTTCTCAGGGAATTAATTTGATCATTACATTTATTTATATGAAATATTGAATCAGCATGTGGCTAATGTTTTAGTTAAAATATAGCTTACTAAACATGAAACAGATTCAGAATAAATTGCAAAATATTAAAAGTGACTGTAATTATTCTGTTATATGCAACAATATCAATTCTGCTTATGTGCAATGAAGAATATTATTCCAAATTTTATTATATTTTATGTAATACACTACTTTTAAAAAAGAATTGCTTTTTTGTAATTTTAATGAAAACATCTATGGATATTTATAGCGCTAAAGAATGCTTCTGAAACATATTTTATGTTACATTTTGTATACAAAGAGTAATGAATTCTAAACAATAAAAATAAATTCGCAACAGAATCATTATGCTTCGTTAAAAATAGTAGAGACATTTATGCCTAAATAAATTCTGTGACTTTCTATGAATTTATAAGAAATGTTTATCTATTGCAAAACTGCTAGTAATTTCTATATAAGATTATCCAGAAATTTTTTTATTTCATTTTTTAAAATTATATTTTTCATGTTAACGTTTTTAACACTTTAAGGTAAATATTGACTTATGATTTCTCGCACACAAATTCCGTAACTGTAAGCATAACCGTGGAAATCAACCAATAACAATTAATGTTTAAATCCTATTGATTCAATAGCCGCTTGTTATTGTTTCATTTTCACGATTATGATTATGTTTATGGCTGGGGAATTCATGTGCGAGAGCCCAGCATGTGATAAATGCATGTGCGTGCGCTTCTTTCCACACTTCTTCCCGCGCTTTTTTCTCCCATGTTTAGTCTTCTATTTATGCTCGTGTCGTTATGCTTATGTCTGATGTGCTTTTGCCATAATAGCACTTTTGTTGTAATGTGTTTGTGTTGTATCTAATAAATGCAGCATATGCGTTTCTTGCGATTTTCCTCTATACGTAATTTTTAATCCATATTATGCTCATGTCGTTATATCTGCCTGAAATACTGTTGTTTAACTGCTTTTGTTGTTATTATCGTGTTCGTGATATATCTTCAAGTAACAATTAGAAAAATATCAAATATACTAAAATATTTTGTGCGAAGATCAGTATCGGTTTTATCCAAACCTATTGTTGTCTCATTATCAATGTAAGTAATATAGTATCGGCAGTGAAATTTCATATTTGATATATATTAAGATGTTTAATGAAGCTATTAGTAGACATACATATTAGTGTACATACATATTTACAGACAGTATCTTTTTTTTTCAGAAATTATTTTTTATTAATTCATTCATTATATGAAATATTTAATTAACATGTAACTATTGCTATTGTTAACATGATTAAATTAAATTAAAAAAATTAAAATGTGATACTAGTAAAAATAATATATATAATATAAGATGGGAATCACTGAATAATATAGTTGCTCAATAGTATATTGTTACAATATACTACTTATTAGTTACAGTGTACTACTTATTTATAAAGAATTTATGCAAAGATTATATGTTTTACATTTTGCTGCACTTTTAAAGAAATATTGTTTATTTTCAATTCTCATTCATTTCTAATGGAAAGTCTATGTGTTAAAAGCCTAAGTAAAATACTATCACTTAATTTAAAAGTATTTATTAATTGAAAACAGAGTATAATAACATATTTTCACCGAAATGCAATATTTATGTGGCATGTATTTCTTTCATTATAGATGCAAGTTGTTCCTGGAGCAAAGAAGGGATCATTACTTTATGTATATGATGATTATTTGTACTATATGGACAATCGCTATGACAATGTCTTTCGATGTAACACACGGAGAACAACCAAATGTTCAGGCTCCGCTGTTCTTCAGGATAATATTTTAACCATTTTAAAAGGACATAATCATCCAAAATCACCATTCATTAAAGAACAGATTGAAATGAAAGAAGAAATGCTAAAACTCTCTCGTGAAACTCATATTGCACTAAAAGAAATTTTTGATTCAGTGTGCAGAAGGTAAAATTATTTTCCTTTTTTCTATATATTTCATTAAAATTTCTATTTGTAACATAATTTTGAACTGGGATTTCATTGTTTTAAGATTATCTTTAATATCGAAATACTGTGATTATAGACAGTATCTTTCTTTTAAGAAATTATTTTTTGTTAATTAATTCATTATATGAAATATTTAATCAACATGTAACTATTGCTACTGTTATGCATGATTAGACTAAATTAAAAAAATTAAAATGTGATATTATATAATAATAATACATATAATAATATAAGGTGAGAAAGAACATATCTCTGATATTTCTGAGCATCTTCAGTTTTAATTTTTGATATGCTTAGATTTCTTGATTTTATGTATTTTGTACAAAAGAATAATCCGTGTATTGAAATTATTGTTATTAGATGGATCGAATAACATAGACATTCAGGCAGAAATTGTCAAATCCAAATTAATAATTAATAATTAATATTTATAGTTTAAATAATTTATTAAATTTACATTTTTTTGCATAATACATTTAAAATAGTCTGATATGTGTTCAAATACAATTTATAAATAACATTATTTATAAAACAATTTATAAAACTAGTTATTACAAAATTAGTTCTTTTGATTTATTGTTAGTAAGTTATATTGATTGGAAAGCACAATAATTTTGTAATATCTTGAACAATTACATTTTATAGTTTTGACATATTTTCAACAAGTTGATTTGAATGTTTAAACCTTCTCTTAGTAGTTTTTTTATTAATTGAAAGATAAAATATATTTTGTATAAAAATCCGTTTGTTGATTTCTGAATTTAATTATTAACTTATAAGTCTTTATTGAATAATTGTTTTCACAAATAAATAGCTGCAGTGTTTAATCGATTCTTTTACAAAACTTTAAATACAATTTTGTGTTAAATTATTATCTATAATTTTTGCATCTTTAATTATATTATTGGATGCGTTCACTGTTTTTTCAATCATACTTTTTTCCAATAGGTACAATTTTATTTAAACTTGAACTTTTTAAATTTTTTTACATTAACTTGGATTGTTTATTTTAATTGATTGCGTACTTCTATTAATACAATTAAAAACATTATTTTGCTAATATACATAATTACGTGATATTTTTATTTCAAATATATTGCTTCAAATATAGTTCAAATATAGTTTCAAATATATTGCTCTTCATTTACATTAGTTTTTCAATATTTTTCAATTCAAATAATGATTTTAAATGTTTGCTAATATATATATATATATATATATATATATATATATATATATTATATATATAATTATTTAACAGTATACTCTCTTTTATTTATATTTGTCTCACAACATATTGGATATATTACATTTTTATGTCTTTTATGTCTTTTATTTGCATTTTTATTTAACATTTAGTATTGTACTAAAAATTTTATAAAGAATCTTATACAATTAATGCTTAAAAGGGACAGTTATGTATTAAGATATAACTTATTAAGATATAAATACTGTATTAAGATATAAATTATTATTAGATAAAAAACTTAAACTTTTTAAATTTTTTTACATCGACTTGGATTGTTTATTTTAATTCATTGCGT